CCTTCGGGACGTCCCTGAGGTGAAACTATTTTTATAATCACACCAGACATGACTGCTGTGCACAGCGACGGAGGGCAGAGTGCGGCCGCAGCCTGGGCGGGCGGGGGCTGTGCGGGTCGCACCTGCTCCTCGGTGCCAGACCCTCAGAAAGGCTGTGGCAGTGCCCGGGCCAGGAGCCAAGGTTACCAGCTGTGCCACACTCGGCTGGGCACACACCTTCTCTCTGAGCGTCCCACAGGAGGCACATCCGAGGCCCCCGCCGCGGAGCCCCCGCCACGGACCGGAGACCAGGGTGTCCCGGGGGAGCCGGGAGCCCGGCCGGGACACCTCGCCTTCCCCCAACAACACTGCCACTCACTGAGGGCCACAGGCGAGGTCTCCCGACGGGCATGTGCCGGGCACTCCTGGAAATGAATGACACTTGTCGTGTCAAGGAAAACAACTGGTGGTCTGTGTGGCCAGTGACCAAGTGGAGTTCCCGGAACAAGCGAGGACTTTCAGGGCCGGTGATCGCCCCCGAGCCTTCGCCGGTGGCCCCGACGGTGACACTAGGGGTGTGTGTTCTGACGCATCTAGTGAGTGTGCCAACACCTGGAGGATCCGGGAACCCAGTGAACCGTCCGTGCTCACGACTAGACACGCGGTCACAGAGCCCTGGGGGACGTGGCGCAACGTCCACAGGACAGACAGCGGGTCCAGGTGACGTCTGAGGAACTGCCCCCGGCCAGGCGGGCAGAGGGCCAGGGCAGAGGCCCCCAAGCCCTGAAAAGGCCCCAAGGCGGACCCGGTGTCCCTGCGTGTCTGAGTGCAGGCGCGCTGTCTTCATACAGTTACACGAACACAACACGGCACAACAGTCTGAATTCGGGAGGAGATAAAAGAACCCAACGATCGTAAATCAGGCATTAAAGCGTTTTGAAAATACAAAACGGAAGTTACTTTGGAAATAGCTATTATTCATAAACATGTTATTGATGTTAACAAGTAGTGGTTTGATTAGTGCTCTTTAAAGAAGTTAATATTTTTAAAACTCTTGGTCTTACTTTCTTGCGTGTTAAATACCGGTAGATACACACTGGAGTTCCCGGGTCCTCAGTAAACTCTAAGCGTGTGCAAGCATGTCAGACTCGCGGCAGAAATAAACGAGGCATGCGGCCCGCCGCCTGCGAGTCTGACATGCTTGGGGCCCGCCAGAGGGCTGGCTCTGAGGCGTCACTGCGGAGGGCTGTCGCTGGGGTAACGCCAGTGTGGCGCTGGCGGTGGGGGCAGAACGTCCTGTGAGCACAAGGGAAATGCCAGGCCTTCCCCCAGAAGGAAACACATTCCAACGGCGCACCCCAGGCAGGTGGCGGCAGCGAGCAGGGCCAGCGCCTCCGCCTGGACCTTTCCCTCTGGCCTCCCTGCAGCGCTGCGTCCCGGGGCCTGTGAATGCAGCCGGGCACACCCGGTGGCACCTGACTCACATTTCCGAACCCGCCTCCCGGACGGGCACCGCCAGCACCGGCTGCCGCCACGGCCAGCGCTGCCCGCCTCCTGCTTTTAGAAGTTTATGGTTTATGACCAACACGTTCAGAACGAGTTCCTTGTTTAACGGAGGACAGACCGCAGCCGTCCACCTCAAGGAAGAACTGATTTAGACCATTTGTCTGTTGGTTACTGCAAACATAATCTTTTTGGTCAAATTTTATCCAAAAGTTCTCTTAAGATAATGTCTTCCCAATAAACAGGGTAGGCTCGGTACTGGTTAGTAGGATGGCTGTGATGAGACTGAGCGAGCGAGCAGGGGACCCAGGGCCCACGGACGTCCCGGGGCCTGAGCGATGGCACAGCGACTCACAGCTCCTCATCGCCAGTGAGAGGCCGAGAGCGACGGTGACGCAGGCAAAGACCCTAAACTGACTCGGTGCCGCGCCTTCGACGGCAGCGGCCGCGTGTGAAAGCTCACGCCTGTGGTAACTAAGTGGACAGCAATGGCCTCATTCAAGGAGGCCGCCCAGGGTCTCTGCCTCCAGCTTCCCGGCGGCGTGCGGGTCAGTGCAGCTGCGTCAGGGGGTCACTGTCCCGGCACAGCCCTCACTCACCACCGGGAGAGCCACCGGACTAACTCTGCACAAGGAGTCCTATTTCTAAAGCTCTGCAGGAGAAGGCCGCGACATGTCCTCAGTGACGTTCATC